TCATTACGTGGTCAAAACAACCAGATTGACAACCCGACCAATCTGACTCAAGTTTAAGAGCCTAAAGGATGCAAATTGGTGAAAGTCTCCCCAGGTCGGGAGAGACGACCTCGACTGAAAATCTGAGGCAAACCCCAAGCGAGGATGTATTGTGATAAGATTTCTTAGAAACCTAAGGCATAAAAAATCCACTAAGAAGGACTGGAGGAAGTTCCTAAATTGAGAACGTACAAGCCTACAGTGACTAAGGTGATGGACTACCCAAGCTACCAAATAACCAAAGGGAGGCTAATCGGCCAAAGGTTAGGCCGGAAAGCTCGGGAAAGCCCTAAGTTCCAAAGACAGGACTAGAACAAGAAAAAGAAGCAACAATTGAAATGAAGATAGATTAGAATAAAGCAGTAAAATATGTGCAGAGAGTAAAGACGTTTGGTTACACACCGCCCCAGGGGCGAAAAACGACATCAGGCACGGATGCTTGTTAATAGCGTTTGTTATAATGTTTTGGATTGTTTGGGGACATGAATCAGTTACCCATGGGAGGAGGATCAAAAGCTTTTGGAGCAAGGCCAACCTGGGAAGTGGGGGGCTTCTGAATTTTCCATCTATGCAGGCAACCCCCAGGCTTTAGAGGAGAGGGAAGGGTCCCGTTAATTCAAAAATTGGTAAACAAGCTGCTCCATGGCGAATTTTCCCAACACATAGCAAAGGGCTCCCTCCTCGTCCAGCAAACAGGCTGCTGCATGGCGAGTCAGCAACAATTCTTGTGCAATCTCAGCTGGGTGGGAAGTCATGACCTTCTCCACCTTGGCCTCTCCGCCCAGATATGCCTAAACGATAGCAACTTCGGTCTCCTCCATCTTCTTCAGCAAGTCCTCCTCCTTGGCCCTCCTAGAACCCTCTATGGCTTTGTGAGCAACAACAACATCCAGTCTCTTTTGCAGCTCCACTGCCTCCTTCACAGAGGCAACCCTGACAACCTCCATTGCCTCCAGCCTGGCCTCCGAGTCTGCCACCGCTTTCTTATGATCGGCGGACAGACCTTGGGTCTCCTGTTCTCCTCATCCAAACGGCGGGAGCTGGAGACAGCAAGCACAAAGGCCTTAAATGGAGCAAACAATATTACATGAAGAACTGACATATAAGGTCATGAAATCAAAATAAACACTAAAGTCAGAAGGATTTTACCTCAGAAATGGCATGTACGGCGCGCCGGATGGCTGACCATGGGGTCAGGTTCCTGAGCTCCTCTGTGTTAGCAGGAGGGGTGATAGCCAGGGCCAGAGAGATAGGATTGACTGTTCCATGGAGCAAGGAAGTCGAGCTCGAGCGCATAGTCAGACATATAGTGTGGAGAGGTGCTGAGGCATCCCCTAATTGCAACCCTCCAGCGACTGGCCCCGGAGTCAGACTCAACATCAATAGCAGAGCTGGAAGGGTTCTTCTCAGGTTTACTCTTCTTTCCATTGGGCATAGAGATGGTCTGGGATGCAAGCCTCTTCCTAACCCCCTAGTAGTGGGAGGCCAGAGGTCTGCAGCCGGCGTTGCAAGAGTCACAACGCTATCTCCATGGGTTGACCCTCAAGACTTCTCCAGAGTGGACTCAATAACACCCTGGGTTTGAATCCTCCTAGACAAAGCCAAGGAACCTGGAGTGGATCCAGACTTTGCAGCAAGATTGTCCAGTCTAGACACTAGCTTCTCACTCTCTGAACCAAGGCAAAGTGACACTTAGAATCAATCAAAAAATTGAAAAGAAAGAAAACAACTGCGAAATCAGGCATAGCCGACCTGATCTAAATTCAAACATAACCACCCCATCCTCACCTACATAATGGCCCATCAAGAAGAGCGCACCTTCAGCGACGAGTTTGGCCACATGCTCATTCCCCTTGGTCAGAATAAACATAGTCCACCACCGGATCAACTACCCCCAATTGTTGGTAAATGGAAGCTTACCATCCACCGGAGTAACCCATGTCCATTTGTAACTCCAATTCTTGAAAGAATCGGGGTAAGATTTGGCAGCGAACGTGTGATGGTCTGCCCTCTGGAAATAAAAAAGAAACCATGGGTCTCGGAGGTGTTAGAACGGACAGAATGGAAGAACCTTAAGAAAAAGTCGAAGGTTGGCCTAATTCAAAGAGACATCGAGCTATGAACCCGACTATGAACAAATGAGTGGTAAAGGTGAGTTGATCGGGGATGATCCCATAATAGTCCAAATGTTAAGAAGAGCAGGGTGAAGAGGGAATCGAAGACGAAGGAGGCTCTACAATATTTTGTCCGAGAGTGGGGCGAGAACAGATGACGCTAGGGCCAAAAAAGGACATTGTTTCGTTAAATTCAGAATCAGAAATAGCGGCAGTCGGAACCCCACGGGCGAAGTCAGCAGAAAGATAAAAATGGGTCTCAATCCCCTAAGAGCCTACTAGAATTTTGGGGTGGTTAGAACTAGCCCCGTCGTCAGGGAAAATAGTATGAAGGGGAACATAGCTAGAAGAAGACATAGGAACTGACATGTGAAAGAAAGTTGAAACCACATGGAGGTACCTTTTATAGCAGACGAAGTGGCACCTCTTAAACCACTTGGGAACCGCTACCGAAACAGTCGAGTGGTGAAGATGGTAGGGTGAGATCGGAAACTGTGTAACCGCAGGCACATGTAACATTGCAAACCACATTAAATGTGAAACACGCTACAGTTCAAAATTGGAAATTCAAATTCGTGGCTTCTTACTCTTTTAAAATCAAGCCCGGTTTATTTTAGAGAGCAGGGAGAGTCGTGATGGTACCATGGATCGCAGCCGTGGTCCAATAATAAATTAAATGAAGCATATCACACGGGAACAACAAACCAAGCCTTCTAATCGGGATTAATTAATTAATAATAGACACTGGGCCTAACATGACCGCGACCCGTGACAGGAACCCACAACCAGGCCAGGCTCGGACAGCAGACCTCGATCCCGGGCATGATTCTAGCGAGATCGGACTTACCCTAGGGCTTACGTGGTAGGCTATCCATTGTGCATAACTATTTGGCAGCGGCAGGACACTAACGGAAGAAACGTGGACCAAAAGGAGTAATGATTGTGAAATAATTGGAGAAGTTACAAGAGTCCAATCGTGACTAAATATATTAAATGTATTGGTTTTGTCTCCTTAGGCTACTGTAGCTCTCGGTCTATAAATACTTCATGTACTTACCTTAAAAGGGATCCGCCTCCGGATAATAAAACCGCTTAACTGCCTAAATTTCTCTGCTCTCGTAGATTAGCTCTCGTAGTAGGAATTAAACCTCATCATTGACTTTTACTTAATATATATATATATATATATATGTGTGTGTGTGTGTGTGTGTGTGTGTGTGTGTGTGTGTTTTAGTTCAAATAAGAACATGATCTTAGGAGAGAAATGAGAATGAATCTGGACTGTTAGATTTGTTTTATGTGAAATTAAATGTGCATTAGATGAAACTGTAATGTGCATTAGGTGAAATTGAAATGTGCAACACAAATGATACGATATAGTGGCATTATGTGAAGTTGAATTGTGCATTAGTTGACATTGAAATGTGCACTGCGTGACACTGAAATGTGTAGAATAAAATGTACGGTGTGATGTTATTTTTGTACCTTTTATTCCGCACATTTAAGTTTCATCTAATGCACATTTGAGTTTAAATTTGTATTCCGCACATTTCAATATCATTTAATGCACATTTCAATTTCACGAAATGCACAATTCAGTTCCACATGATACAATCCAACGGTCCAGATTCATTCTCATTTCTCTCCTGGGAGTCCGTTCTTACCGGAACCGCTCCCTGTATATATATAGGGAGTGGATCATGTGAGAAGTGCTCTTAGGCTGAGAACTGCGAATTTTAACTAATAGACTAAAAACACGAACTTTTAACCAATAAATCATAACTTATAGACCCCGTCGAAAATAATTACGAAAATCTCACCGCAAAAAATAAGCCTGAAAACCTTGAAATTTTTTGGACGCGGTGACATTTTCGTAATTATGATGGAGAGCTTTAGAAGTTATGATTTATTGGTTATAAGTTCCCATATTTAGTGTATAAGTTTACTGTGTTGTAAGATTAGATGCAAATCCAAAGGCTGAGATTGCTTCTCACTTCTCATTTTAAGAGGGACTTCTCACCTGATCTTTTCTATATATATATATATATATATATATATATATATATATATATATATATATATATATATATATATATATATATATATATATATATATATTAATAAAAATTAAATCTATATATTCAAAAGTTGTGCTAGAAGTTGCAGAAGATTCGAATTCAAATATAATAAAAAAAAAGGATGACACCCCATCCCTGAGGGCCCCCCAACCCCGACCGGACAGTACGTTGGGAGGATGTAATTTGAACTATAATCTCAATCTGACAGATAGAGAGTGGGGCTCTGTCCCCGGTACTTGCAGAGGCCCTATGCATTTTTTAGCATAGTAACCCCTCATCGCAGTTGCCGGGATTCGAACCCGGGACCTAACACTTGTGGCACTCCCTTCCTACCAGTTGAGCTACGCCCACCGGTCGAATTCAAATATAATAAATATTATATTATGTAATCTAAGATATTAAAATAGAGGTACATTCCTTGAAGTGCGTATGTAAGTTCAAGCCCATCTAAGAAGTGCGTATTACATAGTATATGGGAGCAGCGTTCTCGTTGGGCGGGCCTCTAAGGAATGATGTCAAGCCAACTCCTTTTTTAAATAGAAATAAAATCTATGCGTGATTCCAATGGTGAATGTTAATTTAGGGAATTTTTAAGTTATGGCCTTATTTTGTCAATTAAAATTTTATTTAGTCGTATTTGTATTCATTAGAGTTAAGCGCACTTGTTCACCTGTAAGGCTTATCCGATGGTTAATGTTAATTTATGATGAAAACATATTTAAGGTCGGGAAAATTTAATTATATTTTTGTTGTTGATGTAAGTACGTACCTGAATATAGAAGGGCGAAGAGAAATAGGGGTCGGGTAAGATAGGGTCCCAATGGGCAAGCTGAAGCTCCTTCTCCCGATCCACATTTTGTAACCACTGAGTCACCGTAATCCCTTTGACTTTGGCCTCTACGAGTCGCAGCCCAGCGTCATTGCATTTCATCAACCACTTCTCATCTCCCGCTGATGATCTCATCAGTCTTCCCGTCATTCTTTCATAAGCATTCAAAGTCTCACAAATTGACTCACCCAACTTCACCTTTTTATCAATTTTTCTGATCCATATGTGATAATGAAAAACATATATACGCATCAGATTACGTGCCTAGTAGGGGCATCTCCAGCCCCGACTTAATTAATGAAGTCTATATATACTACGTATCTACTTAATTTTTTGATGTTTTCTTTTGGATTGAAATTTACTGGTCTATTTAAGTCTGGTCTGGTCTGAACTGGTCTGGTAAACGTCTGGTCTCTATGTATTTTATAATTGTCCAAGTCTGGTATGGTCTGTTTAAGTCTGCTTTTGGTCTGGTCTGGTCTGGTCTAGTGTGTTTAAGTCTAGTCTGATCTGATCTGGTGTAGGACTGAAAATAGTCCAAACGAAAACATCCTTCAGCCCAGTCCAACTAAAGTTTCTAGATCCGTCCATGTCGGGTACGTAATACAGGTTCGGGGCATGCTAGGTTTTGGTCAAAATTCTAAAAAACTCAAATGGGATACCTGACCCTGTAAAATAAGAATTTAGTAAACACTATTATATTTATAGAAATTACCCTGAATATGAGTAAAAACGTTTTGAAATTTCAAAATAAGATCTTCATGTTTTTATTCACAAAATATGAGTAATTTCTGCTAAGTTCGGAAAAAACATAGTAGAAAAGATAGTTGGGTATAACTAGAGAAATGTAATGTTTTAGTGGATCCTAGCTATTATATTATTGTTGGTTGCGCAAATTAAAAAGTTTGATTGAGTGGCGTGGGAATTTGCGTTTGAGATGTGTACATAGGTACGTACCTGTAATAGAAAACAAGACGTATGAGGTAGTGTTGCATAGCGCGATCGAGAACGGATAAAGGGGAGAACTTCCCTGCAGGTTGTACAGGTTTGGTGCTAACAACGGTTCTTTTGGAGACGGATGAAACTGCTAATTCAGACGTGCTCATCCTAGCTATCGATCGATCTGATCTCTTAATACAATCAACGTACAACGTATGTATATATAGTACCTAAGATATCTGTAGCCTATGATATGTATCCATAAGATAGAAATTAAAGAGTCACACGCCCGCCCTCTATGCATAATTAACATGGTGGTACGGTACCATATATACATGAGTAACACAAAAACCGTACCATGCATGCCGCGCTTCTTAGCTTTAATTTTGGGGAAATGTTTTTGGCGTGTCAAAAGCTAGCGAACCCCAACACTCATGAATACTCGCAGAATTTCGTTTCTCAACTCTTCACAAGACTTTAATGATATGCATGCTCATCATCGGTGGCGGATCCACACAATTAGAGCCATGGGGCACCTCTTGGAGATATTTAATTGTGAATCAAGTTTGTCATAGATTAGCTTTATAATTAATCCTTGTATTTAATTAGTGCATGAATTAGATAGCACTTGGGCCAAGTGTTAGGCCCACATAATCAGGCTAAAAGCCTTGTACGCCTAACCTAAACCTCGCCTATAAAAAGGGAGCCGAGAGTTTAGGATTAGGTTAACGTCGTACTTATTCTTCATAGCCTTACGCGCATACTTTTGTGTTGTACGAGTTCACGGTCTATCAAAGAGGGTTTTACATTGATTCAATCTGTGTTCATCCTTACGTTTAATCCTCTCTGTTAGATTGTTATTCATTGCTGTTACAGAAACAGGGACTATCAATTGGTATCAGAGCCGATCGAGAGCCGATCAGAAGAACGCCTGCAGAAGACTCTGTTTTTCTTTACGTTGTTCTTACTGTCGATATTTCACTCTGTAATTTTGTTTCTTGTTCAAAAGTTGTAAAAGTTACACCCTTAGAATCGTCTTTTCAAAGCGATCAAGGGGTATACTTCAGATTTTGTTTTACGCATATTCTGTACTCGAGATATCTCGAGTAGGGCTTGTCGACATCTTAGTTTTTCACAGGTTCTGCTACGTTTTTCGAGCTGAAAAATTTACCTGAGGATCTCGACATTCTACTCTACAGGAAACTACCTTCAGATTTTGCTTATCTGATTTTTACAGTTTGCAGGATTTCGACATTGAGGATTTCGACATCTAGGATTTCGAGATCTTGATTTCGAGTTAAGGTTTCGACATCTGGTCTCGACATTTTACTTCTCAGAATTAAGATTTCGATTTTTAACTTCTCGACATTTCAAATCTCGAGATCCTCTTCTCGAAATTTGAAATCTCGAGATCCTTAATCTCGAGCTCAAATCTCGATACCGGGCCTCCTTTATCGAAATCTGAGATTTCGATATTCAGATCTCGACATCTGATTTTTCGACTTTCTGCTTCTGAAAATCTTTTGATCATTTTTCTCGAACGGTCAGTTTAATACAGCAATGGCCTCAGAATTCAATGCGCAAGGGAACAGCAGTACCCCTCCTAGTCTCAGGAAGGGAGAATACCAAATGTGGAGGAACAGATTCCTTAATTTCCTTGAGCACAAAGAGAACTCCGCTGCGATGCTTGAATCCTTGCTTGAAGGACCAGCAGAACTCTTGATTTCAGTTGGTGGTGATCCAGAAAATAACCCTCCTATTCTTCCAGAAATAAGGAGGAAAGTGGCATCTGAATACACGGAAGCTGACAGGCTCAGGCTTCGTGGTGATCTCATGGCCAAAACATACCTTCTTCAAGCAATCCCCAATGAAGTGTATGTTCTCATAGACAGCATGCAAACAGCTAAGGAAATGTGGGATGAAATAGAGAAGCTGCTCCAAGGCACAAGCATCAGCCTTAAAACCAAGAAGACTACGATCCTTATTGCTTATGACTCCTTCAAAGCAGGTCCAGGAGAACCATTGAATGAGACTTACAACAGACTTGTTCAACTGGTAAATGAACTCAGAAAAATCAAAGTATTCAGGTCCAATCTGGAACTGAATATTAGATTTCTATCCAGCCTGCATCCTGCATGGGAAAAGACAGTGAAGGATGTCAGATCTCGGATTGATTTGGACGAAATTGACCTCTGCACTCTCTATGAACATCTTAAGCAATTTGTCAACGAGGTTGCCTGTGCCGAGGAACACCACACCACAAATCCCTTAGCTCTTGTAATGGAGGCTCAGCCAAAAAGGACAACCACTTCACTAAAGAAGAAAAAGAAGAAGGTGGTGGTTGAATCAGATGATGACGAGAGTGATGATGACAAATCTGATCTAGAGGCTGAGCTAGCAGACTTACAGAAGAAGATGGCACTGCTTGCCAAAAGATTTGCTAAGAAGAACAGCTCCTCCAACAAGCTGAGAACCTCCTCCTCAAACTACAAGCAGAAGAACCATGATCAAGGATCTTCTTGAAAGGCGCCATCAGCTGAAGATGCCCCCAAATGCTACAATTGTGGTAAGGTTGGACATGTCATCAAAGACTGCCGCCTCCCAAAGAAGAAAGATGCTAATTTCTACAAGCAGAAGATGTTGTGGAATAAGCAGAAAATGCTGATGGTGCAGAAAGAAGAAGAAACTTCTGCAATGATTGCTGAGAATGAGAACTGGGCAGAAGATTCTTCTGAGGAGGAGGAGGAGGAAGACAACTATGCCCTAATGGCACGAGTGGAGGAAGATGAAAGAAAGGGTGATGCTGCGATCCCCGAAAGTGAATGTTCAACAAGATCTGTAAGTACCTCACATACTCCTTTAAATAACCAAATGCAATCCTTACTTGAGAAGGACAATCTAATCAAAGAACTAAAGGAGAGACTAGACAATAATCACAGGGTACTGAAACAGAATCTTGACCAAAAGTCTTCCTTAAGTGTTCAACTTGAAATTGCAAAAGATCAAGTCAAAAAGGTGTCCTCAGATTTTGAAAGCTTTGAACTTAAGATAGTTGAATTAACTAGGAAATTTGAGGATAGTGAACGAGAAAAAAGCACAGCAAAGGCTGAATGCGATTTTTTGCATAACAAGAGAAGAACACTTTTAAATAAAGTAAAAGAACTAGAGGATCTAGCTGCTAAGAGAGGTCAATCAGAACAAACAGTTTTTCTGCTTAACAGCAAACAAAAGGATGACCGATTTTACAATCCTAAAATGGGACTAGGCATAACCAACCCACGTAATCTAAAGAAAGTTAATTGTCTTCAAATCTATAACAAAGATTACATGGGACTAGGGTTTGGCGAGAAAATGTATTTTCGAAGTGATGAAGAAAACGCTGAAGCAGAAGAAGAAAAGAGAAAGAATCCAAAATCTGCGATTTCTTGTGATTATCCCTCTGTTAACGAAAAACAACTTTCACAAGAAAAATCTACTTCCTGCTTTAGTGAATGCCTTGACCCTTATGCTAAAGATATTCCTCATATAGAACATCGTTTTCGGCTTATCAGGCTTATCAACTATCTTTTTCACCAAACACATAACTTTTGTTTTCGCGTGCTGAATTATGTAATAAGCAGAAAAAGTAAGGTTGGAGTTACTTTTCTGGCTGTATTGGCTGAGGTTACTGTAGATGACCATTTTAGCTATTTTTCATATAATTTTTTCTTTATTTTATTAATAAAATATATTTTAAAAATATTTTTTTCTTAAATCAGCAGAATCAGCCTATGCAGCCACTCCAGCCAGAACTTCATAAATTTCAGCAGAATCAGCCAAATCAGCCGATTTTCGTGCTACCAAACGGGCTCTAGGTATTGCTAAAACTGGTGAGGAACCTTGTATATTTCCCATGGCTCAAAAGCTCAAAAAACCTACAGAAAACTCTTGATAACGAGAGAGAGAGATTTGAAACTGAAAAGAAAGGTTTTGAGCGCAACTGGCAGGAACTTCTTCAAAAGTTCAATGATTTGAGTGAGCAGTATCATGCTAAAACTGACCCTTCTACGACTAAGTCTGACAGCTCACACACCTCACATGAGAAAAACAATGCTTTAAAAGGTTCGTCCACTCATCTCTCTTCTCCTTTGTTTACAGGAAATGAAGTGAAGAAGGAAGGAGAAGAGAAGAATGAGTGGAGGAAAAAGAGGAAGGAAATCGCAGAAGGCAAAAAGAAAGTTTTTGAGAATAATGCCAGTCCTAGATCTAGTTCTATTTTTTACTCTAAAGTTAAATGTAATTTTGTCTCTACAAAACAAACTTCTAGTAGTTCAGTCTTGAGTCCCAAGCTGAATATTTCTGAGACATCTTCTAGACATCGTTCTATTCATAATACAAGTGTTGCTTATGGTTATTCTGCTCCAGACCCCCACAATTATGAATGTGATGTGAATGTTGTTAAAACAAAGCCTCACAAAAAGCTCAAACCCGAAAGAGAAACCAAGAAAAGAACTTCTAAGGGAACGTTTTGTATTCCTGATATGAAATATGCCCTTCAAGTTCATTCACGGAAACATCTTAATCGGCTTTCTAAAGAGGAAATTTTCAAAACCAAACTTAAGAAACAACCATTCAATCACAAAGCACATGTCTACTCTCCTCCCAAACCTAAAACTGAAAGGTGGGTCCCCAAGATAAGACCCACCAAAACTGAAACGAAAAGGTGGGTCTCCAAGATGAGACCTACCAAACCTGAAACGGATAGGTGGGTCCCCAAACGAAGACCCATCCAAACTGAAACTGAAAGGTGGGTCCCCAATCGAAGACCCATCAAAACTGAAACTGAAAGGTGGGTCCCCAAATTCAGACCCACCAGAACTAAAATGGAAAGGTGGGTTCACAACATCAGACCCACCAAAATGGAAACTGCTAAGTGGGCTCCAAAAACCAGACCCACTGCAAAAGCAGATCTGGCTATTGGAGAGCCCACAAGAGATAGATCATTCGTTGAAAGAGCTGCTGACTTGGATCACAACTCAAAGCAAGATTTAGAAAGGTGTTTCTTGATAATAAGGAAGGACCCACTCCAAGTTGGGTACCTAAACTTGTTTGATTGTTTTGCAGGACGGTCATGTGTGGCACTTAGACTCAGGATGCTCAACCCACATGACCGGAATAAAGCACCTTTTGAGCAATTACATCAACTGCTTTGGAGGCAATGTCAAATTCGGGAATGACGCCTCATCTCCTATTCTTGGGTATGGGGACGTCGTCTGTGCCAGTGTCACTATAAAAGACGTTTCATTTGTCAAAGGGCT